AGATGTTGACATAGCTTTACTTTGGGGTCATAATTTGAAGTTGGAAAAAAGGTAATAAATTGCAAAATATCACAATATATGCAATAATATTGTATTGTGACGCAAGTATCGTTTAATATCGTGTCACGGGGCATCTGGTGACATCCCTATTATACAGGCTGTCTTTAGTGGTTTATAAGACAAGAGCAATCACCAGGCAGGAAGGGGTTAGCAGCATTCCCTTTCCAGTGCTGTAAATCATTTTTCAATGTTAAACAGATCTGCTTTGTCTCCTGTCCTATCAAGCTGCATTATGGGAGTTGTAGGATCCAACTATTTGGAGCTTGACCCATACTAGGGACTAAAAGTCAGAATATCTGAGCATTAATTATAACAAATGTCTCTTGATAGTTTATGGTGGTACAATACTAAATTTTTGGGGTGTCCCTTTAAATGGATTTGGTATCTGGCAGAGGGACCAATCCACATTAGCAGTTACCATTTATGACAATGACTTTTACGGAAAAGATAAGTGGAGTCATTAAGTTACATCGCATAGTACTAATACCGTCTCACTATTTCAATGTTGCCAACTAATCTCTGCGTGTACCTGCTAACCTTACTTGTACTGCCGTGTTTCTTTCTGTGACTAAGAGAATTTCGTTAAGGTTAACGTTAGAGGTTAATTATGTTACATAACTTAGCTATCCTTCTTCCGATACAGGGAACGTCATACCGACAGTACATAAAAATGATTTTCAGATGATCAATCATTTTAGTCTGGTACATCAGCAACCACCTCCAATTCACTTAACGATACTGTTTCATTTTCACTACTGCCTCTTTGCTGTCGTAAGGTCCTGTCGCTTAGCTGGAGTCCAGAGTCGGGTTCTGCTCATACGTTCTGCCAGAGCCTCTTTAAAGGGCTCTGGGTTCTGCTAGGAACCAGACGACATAATTAGAAGACGTCATTATTTTCGAACATTGGAACGGACTCCCACGAACGTTCGGTGCATAAATAACGGTTGTGGCTACAGCTAACCGAGCTAGCAAAGTTACCATGCTAACTTCACCTGCTCACACGCTAGCTAACTCTTATTCTCTTTAAAACAGGGTGTCTACACGTGTTACCGGTTAGGTACACTGACATGTGATGGATAAAATGCGGTGCCTCGTCTCACCTTACACGCCACTCAAAAGACAATCAACGGACAGCTACTTCTCGCCGTTAAAAATCATTGTCCAGAGCTGCTGCTGCTGCTGCACAGGCGCTTCCTTGTTTTCTTCTTATGACGCGGTCAAAACTTAAACTTCTGCACCGTTACTGCCACAACAAGGCCGAGACAGGAATTACCAGTTCATAAACAAAACTATGAGAATACATTTAAGTACATTTACTAAATTCTCCCAGCTTATTTGGGCTTTGATACATCCCCGTTTCCAAAAACGTTAGCATGCCGTATAAAATGTCCACAAAATGTGAGGATGTGCAAAGCATTAAAGCCCCAAAATCAATTGAAAATAACATAAATTTATCAAATGTTGAAACTGAGAAATGTTATTATTTAAGAATTAAGCTACATGCCCGGGTCAAATTTGATGCCAGTTACACATTTCAAAAAGTTAAGACAGTGGCAACAAAATACTGGAAGAGTTGTGTAATGCTAAAAGAAAACAACTGTTGGAACATTTATTAATTAATTAGGTTAAATGGCAACAGGTTAGTAATATGACTGGCTATAAAAAGAGCATCCCAGACAGACTAGGTCTTTCCAACAATTCAGAAATTTAATAATAATGTTTCTCAACTAAAAATTGCAAAGGCTCTTCATTGTATATTTAAAGATTTAAAGATTCAGAGAATAAGAAGAAATCTCTACACAAGGAACAAGGCCGAAAACCAGTATTGGATGGCTGTGACCTCTGGCCTAAAGAGAACAGGGACTATCCGGCTTGTTATGGGTGCACAGTGTAAAAGCCAGCGTCCATATGGTATGGAGGTGCATTAGTGCGCATGGCATGGGTAACCTGCAGATTTGTGAAGGCACCATTAATGCTGTACTATATAAACAAACAGGTTTTGGAGCAATATGCAGCAAAGTAGACGACATATTTTCAGGGAAAATTATTATTTATGCATTGCCCCAAAAATCCAAAATAGCCCACTGCTAGGCTAATATATGCAGTATAAAATGCCATAGGCTTAAGTTAATAATGTTGACTAACAAGTCATAGCAGTAATAACACCCGGTCATCTTGGTCAAGCTGAACTAAACATCACAGCCAGGCTGAGAGTGACTTTAGGCCTTTAGGGAGAGGCAAGAGCCACTGCTGTAAAGGAAAAGGGTGTGCTGGGTTTATACCACAAGACAAAAAGGAGAGCATTTTTGTGAAACAGAATGCGGCACAATCTTTTTATCTTGATTATCTTGTTTTCTTAATCATTGGAAGCTAAAATTGTAATTGAAAATACAATTTGATTAATTGCTCAGCCCTAGTAACAAAAGCAACAGGCTCAGTTAAAAATAAAGTCATGTATGGTACACTATCTTATACTTTAGTAAAAGCAGCAATACAACACTTATACTTCGTGGGTTCATAAATATTCAACATTCTAGATAAACCTGTGGTTCCCAACTTGGGGTGAAAGAGATGAATCTAAGGGGAAAGAGGAAAAGGAAAGTGGATGGTATTGAGGCTGTAGAGCAGCCTATCAGAGCTGGTGACCTGTCTCAATAAATTAGGTGGGTTATGCTATTCTAAATTCATTACAAATTAAGTGAAATTTTGAAATGTTTTAATCTTGATGACTACTGCTTATACTGCTCATGGAAATCAAAAATCCTTATCTCAAAATATTAGAATATTACAATAAAGAAGGTATAATAGAGAAACGTTGACCTTCTTGCAAGATGAAAAGCTCTAAAAAAGGTTTATTTATGCACTCAGTACTTGGTTGGGGCTCCTTTTGCACAAATTACTGCATCAATGCTGCGTGGCAGAGAGCCAATCAGCCTGTGGCACTGCTGTTGGTATGGAAACCCAGGTTGCTTTGATAGTGGCCTTCAGCTGGTCTGTAGTGTTGGTTCTGGTGTCTCTCATTTTCCTCTTCACAAACCCCATAGATTCTCAATGGGGTCGGTTGGCCAATCAATCTTGGTAACACCATGATCAGCAAACCAGTAACTAGTTGTTTTGGCACTGAGGCAACCCCAAATCATCACTGACTGTGGAAACACTGGACTTCAAGAAACTTGGATTCTGTGCCTTTCCACTCGTCCTACAGACTCTGGGAACTTTTTTACCAAATGAAAAGAGGACTTTGGACCACTGAGCAACGGTTTAGTTCTTTCTCTCCTTAGCCCAGGTAAGACGCTTCTGACGTTGTCTCTGGTTCATGAGTAGCTTGACACTAGGAATGTAAAACCTGTAGCTCATATCCTGGACACGTATGTGCGTGGTGGCTCTTGATGCACTGACTCCAGCCTCAGTCCACTCCTTGTGAAGCTCCCACAAGTTCTTGAATAGGCTTTGCTTGACAATCCTCTCAAGGCTGGAGATTAAAGGCTCTTCAGTTCAACATTTCTATTTCTTTATTCTAATATTATCAGATATGGATTTTTAATTTCCTTGAGCTGTAAGCCGTGATCATGAAGATTAAAACAAAAAAGGGCCTGAAATATTTCACTTAATGTGTAATGAATCTAGAATATATTAAAGATTCACTTTTTGAATTAAAGTATGGGGAAAAATGAACTTTTATACAATATTCTCTAATATATTAAGATGTAGCTGTATATACAGTACTGGGCAAACATTTGGCAGATGTGGAAAAAATTCTTTAAAGTAAAAATCCTTTCAAAAATAGACATGTTAATAGATTGTATTTTGTTAAATGATAAATAAAAAAGTGGAAGAAAGAAGAAAAATCTAAATCAAATCAGCATTTGGTGTGACTACTCTTTGCCTTCAAAACAGGTACACATGCTCAAAGTTTTTGAAGGAACTCGTCAGGCAGGGCTCCAGGCAACTGATTGTCTCTGAGGAATCATGACTTTCTAGTCAGGTTGACTTTCAACACCCTGCCTGGGGTTACAACCAAACCGGTTGGCCTTCTCCTTTTATGTTACTGACTGTGCCGCATTCTACTCTGTTAGGTGTGTTATGGCATTAAATAGACATTTTCCTTACTTAAATGATTGTTTATAAACTTTTATGTGAGGGCTGCAGATTAAGAAAATTAACTGAAATAACTGAAATATAAGCTTTCTATTGAAATGTGAACCTTCAATTTTTTTATTTTGATGAAGTTAATAATTCACTCAAATTTGATGTGGTGTGTTGAAACACTTGAAACACATAAAACAGTTGAAATATATAAAAATGAAGCACTGAGAAAACAAAACGACACACTTCTGCATCAAACTTGCAAACACTCGCTACTTTCACCTGTAAATAAAAACACAGCAAGGTGCACTATTTGTGACAAGAAAGTGCCACATATATTTAAAATTGGTCTGGTCTAAAAATCATGGCTGATGCAGACATCTTTAAGAAAGTAGAAATGTGCACACGTTTTAAGATATTAGTATTTAAATCATAGACTGTATATTTAAATGTATTATATTTCATATATTTCATTATTATTAATTATTATTAATTTAATTATTAATTAAATTATTATTTTATTTTATTTTTATTTAATCACAGTATTTCTGTAACTTACTGGGCAATTTTACACTTACTAGCACAAGCATTTTATTCCACTGTACACATTTTCACTTTTGTAATAAGTTTGTTGTAAATGGCCGGCATGTGTCACGTGATTTACCTGTAAGTGTAAGCATGTGTGGTTACGCCCATGGTTTCCTACCACACCCCCAGTTATTTAAGTATCACCCACACAAGTTCAAAACTGCACTCTGTCAGAGAGGCAGTCCTTATAGTAACTTTCCTATAATTAGGATGTTAATTGCCAGACAACATGGGTACTGCAGACTAATTTTACAATAAGTTCAAATCAATCTAAGACCACCATGGAAAGAGGTATGAGGTGTTTTTTTTGCTCATTTTAATATGAATGTCATAGTACAAACCATTTTTTTAGCCACCAGTTCATTTCTGCATCACGTCCTGAATCTGAGTTACAGATTAATTGCTTTCTTGTCTCTCTGAAAAACTGATGAATGACTTTAATCAAAATATTTGTAGCATTTTTCATTGAGGGTTTCAGGACTGTATTTATTTATTTTAAACATTTCCAGTTACTATGTTATCTGTTAATCTCCCTTTTGACAAAGCAAGTGAAATCTGTTGTGTTATTGAAGAAGACAATACTTCATGCCCTCCTGACAAAGGCATGCAAAACATCTGCAACTGTGGTAGTAAGTGTCAGTTAAGTGTAAAATGACAATGTTGAAACTCTAAACGGCATAGTCTCTACATATGTGCCACATCAGTGTGCTGTTTTAAGACTGCTTGCTCATGGTTAATTTGTGTCTCAGACAGATTTTATGTTTTAAGAATTTTAGCTGAAATGTCTGTTAAATCTCAGTGTTGAATGGATTTAACACCTATTGTCTTTCTTCTGACTTTCTTAAAAAAATGTTGATGTACATTTTATGTCAGATATAATTAGTATATGATGTACTTGTTTTTGTTTTCTCAACTACTTCACCAAGGGATCACGTGAACTTTGCCCTATTCAAGAGGAAATATAATTACTAAAACTAGTATTTAGTGATCTATGTCTGCAATTAAGACACAAATATTAGTTCGTCATATGAATATCCACAATCTTGACTGCTGCTTGAGCACAAGGTTGGTTAAAAGCCTACAGCACTGTTATTTAAATGTATTAAATATGTATGTCTCATTATCATTGTGTAACTATGTAGCCTTCCTCCCTTTTTGTGTGTAAGCAGTACAGTTAAAATTTCTTTCTTCTTCCTGTAAAAATTAATATTGTATTTTATTTATTGGGTTTAATTTGTGTTAATTTTTGCTGACCTAATCTGGACACTTGTGTGCTTCACAGCTCGTAGCAGCATGACAGAGTTTTGGAAGGAGCACTCCAAGGCCGCCACAGTGGAGGAGATGATGCTGGACGCTGGTGCCAGGGAGCTGACCCAGCATGAGCTGCCCGAGATCCTCTCCATGCTGCCCTGCCTGGATGGATACAGAGTGCTGGAACTGGGAGCTGGCATCGGGTGAGCATATTGAAGCAATCAACTGTCTAGTAGTAGTGGATTTGTGTGTGACCAGGGTTTTCAAGGTATCTGTTAAATTTAGGACAGAAGACATGAAAGTGAGTCTGATGAGCTCCTGATTTGCATGCAAGAAGTGAAAGGATCTTTAGAAAAGCTTTGTAAACAAGAGCCAATGATGCTCTCTTGTTGCAAAGATAGAAATCCAGCAAAAGAATCACAGTGGACAACATCAGGCCATGCTCACAACAATCTAAGACGGAGGGAAAGCCTGTCTCTACAAGACTATATGTGGGAAAATGTGCCTTATTTCTATACAAGAATGCAAGCTGGTTTGTTATTCAGTGCTTTGAAAGAGTTCTTCAATACAAGCTCTGTTCACTGGTTCTGTCTGCTTTTAAGACAAGTGCATTTACTGACAAATGTCTCTACAGTCGTTACACCAGCCACCTGCTGGCCAGGGCTGGCCATGTGACTGCTGTCGACTTCATGGACAGCTTTGTGGAGAGGAACAGGCAGGACAATGGTCACCATAGCAACGCTACCTTCATCCAAGCTGATGTCACAAAGCTGGACGTCATCCAAAACAGGTGTGTTTTCAGATATCTGTACATTACTAACACTTAATATCTTTAGGAATAGCACACCACTGTGGTCCAGACTGAAAAATCTCAACAACTATTGGATGGATCCCAAATTTTGATTTGTCTGCTGATGTTAGCATTTAGTACAGCCTCACACTGCCATGGCTGTAGACCCTTACGCTACGTGCACAGCTTCAGACATTGTTGGATTAAAGCAGACCGACTACTTGCATTATTTAGACAAAAGAAAACAATTTTAGTTTGGTTTTTAATTTAATTTAATTTGTTGTTTTGTTTCACAACAAAACTGTAAATATGGTTTATACTTGTGTTAATTATGATTATGTCTAACATTGCATTTTTTTCATACAAGTCCCTCATTTGGGGGCTTGATGGGCTGTCTGCTGTTGGTTCATAAAAGATATTCAAGGCCTAGGCATTGAACAATTATTACAGCCAGTGCAGCACTTGCAGTGTAAGATACTGACATTGTTGTTTTACATAAGAAGAATAGATAAATTAAAATAAAACAAACTGTTCCTTATATTTTAACATATCCATTAAATGTTGTCCTCAGCATTGACTTCATCTTCTCCAACTGGCTGCTGATGTACCTGAGTGACGAGGAGCTGAAGTCCTTCATGGAGAAGATGCTGGGCTGGCTGCGGCCCGGTGGCTTTCTCTTCTTCAGGGAGTCCTGCAACCACCGGTCAGGTACTGAGCTAACAATAAAACGTCCAAATCTCTCTTTCATGTGAGAAAGATTTAAACATTGGTGAGAACTGAATCAGTTTCTGCTCTGAATGTAATTAGTCTTTCTCAGGTGATTATGAATGTTTAGCAACAGTAGACAATATATTTTTCTTAACAAACACATAAGGGGAAGGATTCTTTTAACTTCTAACATCTACCAAGGTGACTCCAAGAGGGACTTCAACCCCACCTGCTACCGCTCTGACACACAATACAGCCACATGGTATCATCAGTACAAGTGGAGGGGCCAGAGGGGGGCCAGAAGTTTGGTTTTGAGATGGTGTTAAAAAAGAAAGTTAAGACCTATATTGAGGTACAGTCATTTAATTTAAGTCTTCTGAAAGTTTAAACTAGAAGGACATAGTAATGTGTGATGTAGGCATGAGGATGTGCAGTTAACACTCTCCTTTCTCCCCTTCACTCCCTGCCCTCCGTCTCCATCCTTTCAATCACTTGTCCAGATGAAAAACAATCCTAATCAGATCTGCTGGCTGCTGGAGAAGGTTCCCCACTCCTCGAATTCCCAGAACGAGTTCAACACCTTCCAGCAGTTCCTGGACAACCAGCAGTACACCCGCCGTGGGATCCTACGCTACGAGAAGATGTTTGGGGCTGGTTACATCAGCACAGGCGGGCCCAGCACCACCAAGGTAGGAATAAAGTGTGGAAAATACCAAAGTAATAGGCTGGAAGGATTCAATAAGTGCTTCTTAGAAGGTATACAAAAAGAACACAGAATAAAGAGGTGTGATTTCAAAAGTGAAAAGTTCTGTAACAAATTTATGTCTTGTGTGACTGAAGTTGCAGAAAAACCACGAACATTTCCCACGTTTTCCATGTCATCAGTGTGCCCACATGTGATGACATGTGTTGCACATGTTATAACAAGTGGTACCATGTAGAGTACATGTGGAAAATAATGGAAAATGTATGTGTTTTTCTGCAACTTCAGAATTTACATGGGCTTCACACATTACACCACGAAAATTTTCCCAAAACCACATTTCCCATGTACAAAACATTATTTTTTCACATGTTTTCACATTTTAAATTTCATATGTGCCACATGTGGTTTTTCTGTGAAGTTAGCAACAGCATTAAATAAATGTACTCACCACTTTGGTCCTGACAGAAATATCTCAACTATTGGATAGATTGCCAAAATATTTAGGAGCTCCCCTGACTTTTCCTTAACATTTGTGGTTTTGAGTGAAATGTCTTGACAGCTGTTGGATTCTTTGATTAAACCAAAGAATTTACCTTTTTTGTACTAATAGGAGTTTGTGGACCTGCTGAACCTGAAGCCCGGACAGAAGGTTCTAGATGTTGGCTGTGGCATTGGTGGAGGAGACTTCTACATGGCTAAGGTAAGAGCCAAGAAATCGGCCGTAGTTAGGGTGATACTAATAATGATAATAGAGGGAATTTATAATGATTATAATGATTGAAAAGACTATTATGATGGCTATGATTATGGTACGTTTCAGACCTTTGGAGTGGAAGTGCTTGGCCTGGACCTGTCAGACAACATGGTGGATATTGCTATGGAGCGGGCGATCACTGAGAAGCTGCCATTAGTACGTCTAAATGTTCCCTTATCCTATTGGTTTAAACACCAAAGATATTGGTTTGATTAATGGTTTGTTTGTTTCTAAAAATCAGTAATGGCATGTGCTCTACCTCAGGTCCAGTTTGAGGTGGCTGATGCCACTAAGAGGACGTTCCCAGAAGGTTCCTTTGATGTGATCTACAGCAGAGACACAATCCTGCACATAAATGACAAACTGGCACTTTTCAAATGCTTCCATGTGAGTTTTTTTTCATACTTTAGACAATAGCATTAATTGTCATTTTTTTACATTGTTGATTTCCAAATGTCTCTTTGCATTTGTTCTTTGTGTCCAGTCATGGTTAAAGCCAGGTGGCCAATTGCTTATCAGTGATTACTGCTGTGGGGAGAAGACCAGTGTTTGAGGCCTACGTCAAACAGAGAGGCTACGTCCTCTATACTCCCTCACAGTATGGCAAGGTAAATATACAGTAGAGCCTAATTATGTAATAGTTCATAAAAGGACTACACTGCCCTTGGGGGGAGTTCAGCACTTTAGTCCTCTTTGCCATTTGTCACGTTTGATGCAGTGAGCTCAGGTAGTGGGCCGAAATCAGTTCTCTTGATTATTTAATAATTCAAACACAAAATATACAATTTATGGTTGCAGGTAGGGTTTCAAAATAAACAAAGAGTGAATAGTCCGAAAAGTCCAACTAAACGACAGACGAAACAATAATCCAGGAGACTGGCAGATGAGAACATTAAAGTCCCAGATCACAGTGATCGTAACCCAAACTACAGGGTTTCAGGCAGAGACACAAGACAGGGTAGTACACAGATACACAGCACACAAATGACACACCCATATTGAGTAACTCATAAAAAGTCTTCTACTGTACAGAAAGCTCAAATGCACAAATGGTGTGGCTGTGTGCACTATGTGGTGCTAATGTGTTAATAATGTCTGTCAGCTGCTGTTGCTGTTCCCACTGTACTTTACCTCTTCTGTCCTGTAGTTCATTGAGGAAGCTGGTTTCTGCAACGTTGAGACAGAAGACCGGACAGACCAGTTCATCCAGGTCATTAAGACAGAGCTGCAGAGAGCAGAGGCCATCAAGGGTGAATTCATTGAGGTTAGCATGCACACATGTGCGTGTGCACACACACACACACACACACACACACACACACACACACACACACACACACACAGAAATGGTGTCAAAATTACAAGGTTATACTTACACACATATCCATGTTGGGTTCCAACCTGACTGTTCTTCATCCCTTGCAGGAATTATCTGAAGAGGACTATTTTGCAATAGTAAATGGATTGAGAGAAAAACTGGCACGTTCCAACAGTGGAGACCAACGATGGGGACTATTTTATGCAAAAAGAAAGTGATTGATAGAGAAGATAGTACAAGAAAAAAAGAGAATACTTCTTTCTTATTTTGTTATTGCTTTTATCTTTCTTAATTGCTTGTTTTTTGTTTTTAAAAAAACAAAACAAAATTATGCTGAGTGAGCAACATGGAGAAAAAGATAACATAAAGTGCTGGCCTATATTAAAATATGGTAACAAAATAAAACAAAACAATATTTACAATTATTTATATACATATATACAGACACGTATACACCCCAAACATTACACAGTGTATTTTTTGAATTGGCATCTGGGGTGAATGCAAACAGCAGCAACCAGATGATTATATGAAAGTTTCATCTTCACAATAAACAGCCTGACATATGGGAAAATGATTCCCATTTTGTCCAGACTGGCTTTTTAGGAGCAGAATTGAACCCAAGCTGGGCCAGCATGGCTCCTCTCCTGGCTCTCTTTTCTCTCCTCTGAGCGATCACCGCACCCTGGTCTGGTTGTTTGGACCAGGTGGATCATGGTATGCTGCTCTTAAATCCAAAACCCCAAAATCTCCATCTTCCAATATCTGTATTTAGCCAATGTCAGAGGTAACGCATGTTTTGGCAATAAAGCCAAAAAAAATTATTATTACATTGTATTACATTGACATGCTATTAACCATCATACATTTCAAACATCTGTGATTCAATAATTAGTAAAGAATAGCTGCAGGAACCTTTTTTTGTGTGACTGATTTTTGGTTTAGTATTTCTTTTGGTTTGAAACAGCTTTTTATTGAGTATTTTTAAACCATGTTAGCCTTTAATTGCCTGCATCAAGTCTTATTTTTGGATAGTTGCATGGACTTCTACTCATATTAGTGAGAACATGTAAAACTGAAACTATACTGTGGATTAAGTCCACCTTGAAGTGTCTCCAGCTTGAAAGCCTTGACAGAAGCCCTTATATCAATATGCTATATGACTTACAAATAACTACATAAATACTAAATAAAAGTTTATGTTGCAATTTAATCATCCATGTCATTTGGATGGATTGAAAATGTGTTCAAATACCATTTACATGGTCCTGTCTGGAACAACTTCACCATGATATTTCCAGTGTTGGGCAGTAGCGTCGCTACAAGTAGCGCCGTTGCCGTTGTCATACATTTTATGGCAGGTTGAATATATAGACTGAAATTATTTGTATTCCACTATAACTACTGCTGGGAAAATAGAAACGTCTCCATATTCACCCCTGTTATTAGTCATGATGTGAACAATACACAAAATTAAATACTTGATAGTAGGCCATCATCTGTGCATTATAAAGGGGGGAGACAAATAGAAAAAAGAAAAAAGAAAAGAAAAAAGAGAAAATAGAAACGTCCCCATATTCAACCTTGTTATTAGTCATGATGTGAAGTATACACAAATCATCTGTGCATTATAAAGGGGGAAACATATTTCGGCAGACTGCATGTCCAGCCTGGTAGGACCAGTAGGCTACTGTTATCGCTTTTTGTGTAAGAAAAGTTTAAATGCAATGCATTATTAAATTGTTATGATAATAATTTACCCTTTAAGGAGGGGACAATTTCCAGCAATATCCAAAGGCCATGCAATGGAAACATGGATTACAAGGACAAAATATTGTCTACAATGCTGCATTCAGTTTAATGTACATTTCGAGTCAAGGAGATTACAGTGATGTTGATACAGTATCGATGGCGTATGTAGGAGCAGTTTACGTGAAAAAGGTGACAGTCTGTCTGAATCTAGCTTCTAAACAGTAACATGGATGACAAAGTGATCGACTACGTGGTCAGTTATAACAGACTATCGCAAAATAAATGTTTGCTTTACGAGTGAAACTAAATGCTCGTCTTGTGTAACGTTAGACATTCTCAACTGAGTGCAATGAATAATACAACGTTCGATATCACATAACGTAAGCCTATAAAAACGTTTTCTAAGTGCAAGCTTGCTCTACACAAACCTCGTTAATAAAACAATACTAAAACCATAGATTAAACAATCCATATAGTATATTTTTCATTCACTTTGATGAAATCAAGGTCCAAAAACGTCACTCTTGTAGCATGTTTTGCTAACAAAATGGCGTTTAAAACAAATGGCGTTTTATTTTGACACGCCGTAAAAAGCGGCGTTTTGTTAACTAAACATGCGGCGTAAACAATGGCGTTTTCTAAAATGATAATGAGCTCCGCCCTGTGGATTTTACAGCCACTAAATTTGAACTGTTGTCACCCAATCAGTACAGAAGAAGAACAGACCACACTAATTCAGCACTGATCTACTTTACTGTGATTGTAGCCACCCAAAGACAGAAAGTAACCACAGACAAGCATGAAAAACTCAACACAAAAGTCCCAGACTGATCAAGTAAATTGACTACATTTACTAAAATTTGAGCTACTCTAGGTTATAGCTTGTAACATCTATTGATTGATGATTTTAGATCAAATTTGACATAAATAATTAATTTGCATTTTATTTATCATCACTGTCAGATTAAAGTATCTCCTAAAATAGAACATACAAACACAAAGAAAGTAAGAAATCACCATAAGTGGAACAACTATCTTTACATGGTCATCAGTGAACAGTTTAAGCCTCAATTGTCTTTTTATGACCCCTTCAGTCGGTGTAGTATTGATAGCGAGCCTACCCTTGTTTCTACAAAGCTTTGTTTTACCATGTCATCCTAAATCCAGGCCAAAGGCAACCTGACACAAACGTGTTTCAGTCAATTCAGGGAAAACACAGCTTGTCATTTATTCCCTGGCTGGAAACTTTTTATTTATTTATCCAAAACTATCCTTCCGGACTCCTGCGATAATATATATGTTACCCCAAAACACTACACTATACAAGCTGCTACAAAAACTTACCTTATTCCATATTTATGTTTTTCCACATATCACCACAGCAAATTCCTTGTATGTGTAAAACACTACTTGACAATAAAGCTCCTTCTGATTCTGAAAAGGCATCTGCAGGCTATTAAGATACATGGTTTAAAATAAACACTGCATTGCTTTCCTCCAAAATGGACATATTTGAGAAAGGTTACCTGAACTCTTTGTGAAAGCATACCTTCTGATGATACCTAAGCTAAATAAGTTGCATGTTTTGAAATCATGTTAATCATCAATAAGCTATCTTTACATTGTAAACAATGCTGGCTGATAATGACAAAATGAAATCGGTTTAATCAGTAAAGGTTGAAATTTATTTTACTGTGTAAACCACACAACATTCAAAATTACATCCCAAAGTTCATCCCAAATTATATTAAATTTATTATAACATAAATATGAACAACCAGGATAAAGAATCTGTCAGACTATTTGTGAGAGACAATTGATTGGAGTCTTTACTACTACTAGATATTTGACTTAATACTTTGAACAATTAGGAATTATATTAAAACCAGTAAAGGTATTAAAAAAATAATGCAAAAATATAATTATGCTCATATAGCCTATGTACATCAATGTGTGTGTGCGTCTGCGTGAGGCTCCAGCTGGTGATGGGCATCACTCATAGTCCAGTCCATCGTAGGGTGAGTGGAAGTTCTTGAGTAACAATTGAATTGAGTAACAACCAACCTTTGTCTTTGAAGAATTTATTTAACAAAAGAGAATAAACAGAGAAGTACTAAAACACATATACAGCTGGTCCAGAGACCTGCCGCCTAAGGCGGCA